AAAGAAGATACACAACAAATAGATATTAATATACTGTTAGAGCAGACAGATAGAAAGCTGTTTGAAAAGCTGTGTAAACAAAACAATCATCCGTTAAGAGAAATTTGTCCAAAAATTAAAGAATATACAGTAAAACTTAGAACACAAGAGGCACAGTGGCCAAAGATTTCTACCGAGCGTTTTAAAAATAGTTTTATCAATAGATGTATTTTTAGATATAATTTAGCTTTGCAACTTTAATATGACCTAAAAAATTTTTTAATGTTAAAAACTTGTAATATATTTTAAAATAATTTAAATTGTAACACTTGATATGTAATTTTATCAATTGATTATTAATAATAATAATAATAATAATAATGAAACGATATAATATAGAATATGGTATTGCTGGCGGAAAACTATTCAATTATTTTAATTCGGCGTCTATATGTGTAACATGATACTGCAAATAAAGTAATGTAAAACAGGCATGCTATATGAAATCTAGTCAGAGTGAGCGTGCACCCTGATTCTCCCATCCAAATTCGATGGAGACGAGATTGTCGCATGGCTAAGAGAGTTTGATGCGTGCGCTTTAGCCAATGGTTGGAAAGACAAGGACAAAATTACGTAATTGCCAGCGTTTCTACGAGGACGCACAGCTACACATTTTTACGCAACCGTACCCCTGCCGTTGAAAGAGCTACATACGACGCCGCAACAAAAAAAGTTAAAGCAAGCCCTGTGTCCGCCAGTTGAGAGGGAAAACTATTACGCAAAATTTGAAACCCGAATGCTTCGCACTGGTGAAGATCCGTCGGTTTACAAGTGGGAGTTTGAACAACTTCTAGAAAAAGCCGACCCCGACCTCGCTGTAGAAACCAAATCTGCTCATTTGTCCCGCCAATTCATGCGTGGTCTGGCGAGCTCTATACGAGGAAAACTTTTGGCTCACAAGCCCATACCAACCTTAAGCGAGACGCTAAGTTTTGTCCAACGTTATCAAGCGATCGAAGACCGTGACGTCCCTGCACATACGAGCGCAAGCGCATCAACAGACAAGCAGGCAGCGGACAAGGACCAACTCGTGGGTTTAATGACCGAACTGGTAACTCGACAGAAAGCGCTCGAAGACCAAGTGGCCACTTCCGAGCAGTTATATGCAGCAGCAATCAAGCAAAACGAACGTCCACGACCAAAAATTACGTGTTTTCGATGTGGAAAACAAGGCCACATTGCTCGAGAGTGTCGCAGTTCAAGCCAACGCCAAGACTGCTCCAACGTACAATGCTACGAATGCGGGAGATACGGACACTTCGCCCGTGAATGTGGGAACTATGCGCCTTTAAACTTCCAAGGGCCGTCTCGAGGAACCACCGGACGGTAGACAGCCCCGAAACAAGTAAGAACTGTGACTTTATTAATAATTCTACTAATTATTTTAATGATAGCTTTTGCCAGAACATCCATTTGTTGCCTGTCTCATTGACGTCGTACCTGTCAATGCTTTGTTAGATACTGGATCAATGAGTCTTTTATTAGCGATAAAGTTCATTTGATTTTGACTGCGGTCGATTAGATAAGTCGCAGTCACAGCATTGTACCTCAATTACTGGAGGGGACTTAAATACTGCAGGAATCGTATCTACGAGCGTGACCTTTTCACGTTCTAAACATAACTATCATAGTTCTTTTCTTTTTAGTAGTAATATACCGTATGATTGTATTTTGGGATGGGACTTTATTACGCAGCATAAATTAAGTGTTCAAGGGGATTTATTGGGAGGGCGAAGTCGTTTTCAGTTCGTGGGGACCTATGGGAAAATCCCAATACATCCGGAGCATCCAGCAATGAAGGTGCAATCGAACTGAGTTGTGAATACAGAGGCCAAATCACGCGTTGTTTACACCAATGCGGTACTTGTGCAATCTCAGTTGAAAGGTGTCAATAAAGTAATTCTGTGGGAAGGAGTGGCAATTCCGGTTCGATCGGAAATGGTAATTGAAGGTAAGATACAGGCGAAAGATATTTCACAAGTTGGCATGATATCAGCTAGTCAGGCAGACACTTACAAGGATTGCATGTAACTCATTGTCACCCCTGTAGGTAAAATCGTACCAGTCCGAATAGCTAATACTACAACAAACGAAACTGAATTACCGAAAGGTTGCAAATTGGCGGAATTTTTTCCCATACTTGAGCAAGAAGATGTTGCCAACAATAAAATTCCGGTTAATTGTAATGCCGTGCAAGCAGATAATCTCGGGCAGAAAATCGATTCCGGTTTAATTAGATGCGGGTTTAAGTAACTCCGAAAAACAACAAGTATTAGGCGAGTTTAAAGAACTGTTTAGCGACATAATTGGCCAAACCAACATTGCACATCATAAAATTGACACCGGTGATAACCCGCCGATTAGGCAACGTGCCAGGCGAGAGCCATATGCATTTCGCGAAGAATAGTAGTATAGGAACTGCCGTAGCGTGACCAATACGGCATTTCCTGCTTACATTTATTTCTTATATTCTTGTTTTCGTACGATCTATAATTTTCCTATTCTAGAGCCTTTTCGACAACTTTTAAAATACCCTTGAGGTAACACACACCCCCTTACACAGAACCGTCAGATATTAATTCTGAGCACTGATTAATACTTCCTACAACCTCCACAATACCTATTTTAGTTGTCACACTCAGATTCCAACTATTCACCGTTCTCTTCTATCAAAATACCAGGGATTCCCAAACCCTTAAACCTCTGGATTTCCTAATATCGTCCAACCTTCCTATTCCAAAGCCTCTTCGGCAACTTTTATTTTCTCCTTGGGGGTACACAAGGGGGTGTGCCTTTGTAGTCCGGATACACTGTTGGCGTCATCCTTTTCACCCTGTGTGGTCACCTCAACCTTAATATCATTGGATACAGAGAAATTTATATCACCAACCTTCCCATTTTTATTAGACCTCCTACGACAGCCACAGATATTACCCAAACAGGAGAAGCATGAACGCCACTTTGACATTATACTTTATGATACAACACATGTTATCCAGCTGACCCTGAATATAACAGTGACCAACAAAAAGACAGGTCCATACTCATACCAACAGGCATTGAGTGTTCTGGTTTAACGATGATACACCAAGCTAGCGTCTTATCTACCAACTCAGCCTGGTTTCCCAAATAGAACATACTATTGCCCTTAAAGACGTAGCAAGCTGTACTTCCACCATTACTTGTGTAAGTTCCATTGAAGTAAGTGTATGATAGCCTCCTTAAGTCGGTTGTGTCGAAAACAATTTCCTTTTTAGCTTGTATAAATTTTCCATCAGACTGCTTTTCCCATACAGTAGCCCACAGGATGAGTCCCAGGGGTACATTAGTAACAGTTGAAAGAAGTGGGGAATCTGTTTTAATAGTAATTGACTCAAGCTTGAGGTCCGTTAGATTGTTAATAGTATATGTTCTCCATGAAGGTGGAATCTGATCTTGGCAGTAAGCATAGTACCTTGTTGCCGCAACTGATACTCCGCGATATCCCCAGATCCACTGTGAATAAATATGGTGAATTCTCCTTACATATCTATTATCAGCTGTTGCTTGGACGAGACCTGTGGAAGGTTTCAGGAAATTATTTTCCACCCATTGCCTGTTTACAGCATCCTTATCATTCACGGGGTCCCTTAGATCAAGAATACCACTCGAATCTCCCATATCCAAATTACCCTTTACCAGTCCACCTCTACTACGCATGAACTCATCAGTTGCCCATTTCTTATTTACAGCAGAACCGTCAGTTGTTGGATTACCTACCCTAGTTAACTCATAGTCGTTAACATCAAGATCGCTATCTAGAGTACCACCATTACGTTTCAAAAACTGCAGACCCCAGGAGTCTATACTCTTAGCGGAAAGTGCTGCGGTGTCCCCAACCGACCCACCTTTGAGACCCGTAATACTATACCCACCCATGTCAATATTACCTGTCATAGTAAACCCACTACTGCTAATAGAACTTCCACTAACGTGATCCGTGACCCATTTTTTAGAAACAGCAGATTATCAGTTGTGGGAGCACCTAACTTTAATATTTCATTGTTACCCATATCAAGGTCATCAGATAGTGTAAATCCACTGTAAGTCTCACGCCTTCTTCTACCACCGCTAATTTTATCTTCTACCCACGTTTTGTTAACAGCAGATGCGTCATCACTGGGAGCTCCAACATTTTTAATCTCATTTCCACCCATTCTAAAGTCACCGGACATTTCTGAAGTACCACTAGTGTGCAGGTAGTAGCCTAGTGCTCTAGTTAGGAAGTCGAATCTTATGAGGGAAATGGGACTTCTAGAATCATTATCACATAACGGTGCGCTTTTAAAGTGAACAGTACCTTCGACTTTTCCGGTTCCGACTCCATCCAGCCTTAGGTATGTGTCATCATTTGATTTAAACCATGACTTTGTAACAGCACACTGATCGGTGGTGGGATCTCCAACATTTACTATTTCATGTCCGTCCATTTTAAGATTACCTCTCATTGTACTTAAACCGTTACGGTGAACGTAATAGGTAAATTTCTTGTCCATGAGTTTTTTATTTACAAGACCACTTGAGGTAGAGGCCTCTTCGCTGGTATTCGGTGTTTTGTCGAATAGGACTTCACCACGAACAAACTGATTATTACCCCCAGACAGCTTAAGAAAATTACCATTCCCTGCTAACGGCGGACTTATCCTCAGAAGGGTCCTTAAGGTTCTTAATCTCATGGTTCTTCATGTCAATATCACCAGCAATATCAAGTACAGTTACAGGTCTATTTAACATTCCAGCTACCCAATCCTTACTAACAGCAGACTTTCCAGTTGTAGGATCACCCAAAGACTTTATTTCATTGGTTGACATATTGAGATCATTTGTGAGGATAAGACCGGGTAGACTAGCATGTACATGTCTACGGCTACCTTCAACCGAACTTTTACTGACGGCATCATGGCTTTTTATAGTCGAATTTTACATCAACATTCTTAATGGTAATAAAGCTTGCCACACTTGGAAGAAGGGATCCACCTGCACCACCAGTAGTAGTAAAAAAGTTTGTAACATCAACATACACCTTAAAATTGTTAACATCCTTAGGCCATCTTATTCTAGGAAAATAACTATGACCATCAATTGTATCATCAGGATTAATTCCATATCCACTTCCCCTTCCCCTTCCGGATAACCACATTGCAGGCAACCTAACACCTTCACCTTTAGTTATTACTTCTAGTGGAGGCTGATCCATGTCAGTCATAGGTATAAACTGTTTGGGAATAATAATTTTCTTAGTACCTGTGAGATAAGATGTAAACTCCTTATCCTTCTTAAAACCGTCATATCTAATATCATATGAAGATATACCATCCAAATCAACAAACCAAGTGATAACTCCTATATCACCACTACTAGTAGCCTTTGCTTCAAATTTAAACCTATTTATGTCAGTGTGAGGGTACTTTTTAATAAATCTAGCCCTCTAACCTACTTTGCTGAAACAGCAGGATGTGAAATAGAGGCAGTAAAACAAGATATCACAATAGAAACACGATTACTGACCATGTTAGGTTTTAGTAGATTTTTTAATCCTATGATCCTGCTGAAAGGGAGGAGTTTGACAAGTGATAGCAAAGTTGACTTCAATAACGGTCTACGAGGTGTAGATATACACTGTAATCTAGTTAGTAGTAGTTACAACGTTAACCCTTGGGGAAGACCCAGCGATGTAATAACAACTATTACAATTCCAACTGACAGACCATTATTAGGCTCAGTAGTTAGTTACATTGATGTTGAAAGCAGGAATTCGATTGTTAAGGGTTCATTCTCAGAACTTGTATTCCACATGACAGACCAAGACGGGAAACCTATTGATATAGGTGAATTGCTTATCGAGATGTACCTTGAGTAGCCAGCTTACATCGGTTATTATAATATAGCATTTGTAAATTCTGAACGCTGATTGGCTAAGAGCCGTGTTGATATAACTCCATGTCAACACGGGAAATTTTCCGCCGCTTGTAACACGGAAATTTTTCTTATTCTTCGGGCTTTTGACATTGCTATATTATAAAACAAATATAAAACATTTTTTCCGTATTGATATATAGTTATATCAACACTCGTGGAAGTTGGGAAAACTCGAAATTGTGTGAAAACACTCCGCCCTTCGGGCGTCGTGTTTCCACACAATTTCTCGTTTTCCCAATTTTCACTCGTGTTGATATAACTGTATATCAACACGGAAAATGTTTTATATTTGTTAAATATAAGATGGACGACGACATTATGAAAGAACAGGGACTACGAGATATTTACTACAATCCTAAAACTGGATTCCAAACACCAGAGAAACTATATCTTAGAGCAATATCGGAAGGACTTGAAGTAACCAGAAACCAGGTCAAGAAATGGATAAACGAGCAAGACACATACACTAGGTACAGACAAGTGTTCAGGAGACACAAATTCAGACAGACGTACGTCCAGACTCTAGGTGAACAGTTACAAATGGATTTAGTTGACATGACAAAATATGACGACAAGAACAAGGGATACCGCTGGATTCTCACATCCATTGAAATACTAAGTAGGTACGCATTCACAGTACCAGTGCATAGGAAAAACGCGACATCAATGAAGGACGCCGTCAGTAACATTTTAGAGCAATTTAATAATCGTTTTGGTAAATACCCAAAATTCGCCCAGTTTGATCATGGTACAGAGTTCTACAACAAAGAAGTAAAGTCATTACTCAATAAACATAACATTGAGTTTTTCTCTACTTATTCAGACAAGAAGGCCGCAGTTGTAGAAAGATTTAACAGAACACTGAAAGCGCTAATGTGGAAGTACTTTTACAGTGCCAGTACATATAAATGGTTAGACGTTCTTCAAGACTTAACTGATAATTACAACAGTTCAGTGAACAGATCAATTAAAACAACACCGGACAGTGTAAATGAGTCCAACTGGACTGAAGTATGGCAGACACTTTTTAGTCACAATCTAGGCAAGCCGTCAGAACCAAAGTTTGCTGTCGGAGAAAGTGTCAGGATTTCAAAGTACAAATCAGTGTTTACAAAAGGGTACGAAGCAAATTTCACAGAGGAGTTGTTCACTGTGACGGAAGTGTATCACGGCCATCCAAACACGTATACAATAAAAGACAGTGATGGTGAACCAATAATTGGCAGATTCTATGAACAAGAACTGTATAGCGCTGAAGGAAGAGAACCTGATTTCAGAATAGAGAAAGTATTAAGGAGAAGAACAGTGAAGGGTAAAAAGATGGCTCTCATTAAGTGGTTAGGTTATGATGACAAATTTAACAGTTGGATACCAGCTGGAGACATCAAGTCCCTAACATAAGTTAAAGTATTATGGAGGACTTCGAGGACTACGATGACATTGAGTTGGAGGAGATGAAAAAGACGTATCCTCAATACGATGATCTCAATTATGATGACCTAACGACAGCTTTTAGTAGGTTAGATACAAAGATGAAGGGAAAGGCTATGTATGGTGATGATCCTATAGTGATAACCAATCTTAAAAGTGAACTAGACTATGTAAGGAATCTCATGGAGAGACGTGCAATAGTAGAAACAACTTTCACCGAAGGAAATGATGGTACAGTGAACATTTCCGGTCCATCAGGAAGCACAACCGTTCAAGGAGTCGACTTCGTGGAAGACCCAAAAATTTACTTCCAGATGTTCTAGATGCATTTGATGAATCATTTGACGCTGACTGGGACGAAATAGAAGCCCGCCTAGAGAAACTAAATAAGATTTCAACAGCTAATAAAAAGAGAGATTTCGAAAACCAAGTGGAACGCGTTCAAGCTGTTACAAGAGTTATCAAGGGTAAGGAGAAATTACTGCTGGACCCTAAGAATAGATACGTCAGGGAACTCATAAAACGATCATCTGTCAGAACACTTAATGATGGCACAGAAGTGTTAGTATTTAGAAGTGAACAAGGTATTGACAGAGGTGGTACACAGATAATGAAACGTGGTAAGACCAAGATTCCGGTGTACTCAAATGACTCACTTGCTCTGAGAGAATATAAGGAACTTATGAAGAAAATCAAGCAGACCTCTATGGGTCCTGACGCTAGAATTACAAGTGAAGAATCGGTTTATGAGGATACCAAGGAAGAGCCGCAATTTGAAGACAGTGATGAGGAATATGCTAATCGTGAGAACATTGAGTTAATGGATACAAGTGCACAACTAGGAAATCTTCCAGGTCTCATAATGCAGGAAAACAATGAACTGAGAGGAGTACTTAACCCACCTGAGGGATCAAGCATGGAAGGCAGAACAGGTCCCAATGGAGCATTGCAAGTACAAGCGGATTATTTCAATGAAGCCATTGGTAGAACTGTAGTGCAAGCCGCTGAAGCTGAGGGTACAACTGAGTACAATGCTCTCCTAGAAAGAATTGATAGTCTAAAGGAAGCTAGAGATCGAACCCTAGAACAGAGAGTATTAAAGGAACCAGAGAGGCGCAGTTGGAAGATATTTCCAGATTACGTAAGTTTGTGAAATGGTTAGGGGAGGAGAAGGTGAGTCTAACTGGAATTGCAATATCAACAGCAGGTCTACTAACAACTATTCTTATTCATGCCCAGGGAGCTATTGTGAAGACAGCAAAGGCCACTGGTAAAGTAGCAAAAGCATTAGCAAATTTAGCGAAGAAAGCAGGACCAATTCTAGTTCCAATCCTGAACGCAGTTGCAACGGCGCTATCATGGGGAGCAAAAGAAGTTGCCTGGTTAGCGTCACACTTATGGGTATTAGCTGTAGCAGCTGCCATAATTGTGTACAACAATTACAGCAAGTAAAGTATAGTAATGGCTGAAAGTGTAGAATACAAGGCAGCATGGATGGATAGGGTAAGTACCATTCTTGATGAATACAATAATGAATACTCTGAGATCTGGGAAGGAGACCTAGGAACCGAGAACCTAGATGAGCTGAACAGATTATATCCTGGCTATAGGGAAATGAAACCCGAAGATATGGACTCCGAAATAGACATTCTCCGAAGGAAGGTAACGGGACCCGAGCAATTGGAAGAGAAAGAAGATATTAGAAGAGAAATTGAATACGTCAGTCAGCTAAGAAGAATGAAGACCTGGAAGAATTCAGAAACCGAGGCCTATCTAAACGCGACCCATAGTACTCTCAAGGAAGAGGTAAAAACATTAGTTGTACTCAGGAGAATAGCTAAGGCTGAAGTTAGAAGGAATGACTACTCGGGAAAAATAGATAGGCTGAAGGGTATTATAGAAAACCTAGGTTTCGATCCTAATGAGCCCGAAGAAGAGTTAGAAGCAGAGGAAGAAGAACGTAGGAAAGAAGAAGCCAGGCAGAAGGAGGAAGAAGATCGTAGGAAGGCTGCTGAGTTAGAAAGTAAGAGGCTTGCAGAAGAAGCTGCCGAACATCAGAGAAAAGTCGAGGCTGAACCCAAGAAGCCCAACAGAGGTAAGGAGACTGAGGAGCCTCTACGTGAGGCAGACACTGAATGGCTAGAGGATACTTTCAACTTTGAGAATCTTCTATTCCAGGTCGCAGAGGATAGTATCCCAGAAGAGGATCAACCTATATTCAGCGGTGATAGTACGGAAATCATGTTGAAGGGTGTTAGGGAAGATCTTACGAGGTATGAAATGTTCAAATCATGGGTTGAAGATAACTTCGGATTTGTGCTTGCAGGTATTATAGTATCAGTTGCTGCTCTCCTTACAGCTATTATCATACAGACTAGAAAACTATCCTCAATGGCAGCAGACTCTACGCACGGAGGTGGAGGTCCTTCACCGTTGCCATTTCCACTTCCTGATATAGTAAGCAAACTTATTAAATTTATATCATCAAACTTATGGGTGGTAGCTGTAGGTATCGGAATAATTTTACTTTACATGAACAGCTAAACATTACATATTGTATACAAGTATGAATACCACAGAAAGAGAACTCCAACCTGGCTTCAGGAGGAGCCGTATGACATCCGTAAAAGGTCCCAGAACTAGAAGTGTTGTAACTTTTAATCCAACAACTATTAGCCCAGGTGAAGAGCTGTACATTAACATCCCCAAACTAAAGCCTGACTCTTGTTTAGTCCCAGGATCACTTGCACTATTATTTGACTTCAAAAATTCCAATACAAAGAGCCGTTTCAATAACAACCTGTCTAAGTTGATAGCTAATCGTCTTCAGATTAAAGTAGCAGGTGAAACGGCTTATGACTGTTCAGGAGAGAGTTTGTACGAAATATACAAAGATCTATGGCTAACTGTTGGCGACAGAAATAAGATGACTGAACAGGGTCTTGCAAGTGAGAATCTTGGGAAGCTGATATCAGGTGACGACTCAGGTGTAAAGGTAGGTGATGCCAATAAATTAGCAGATGGACTTCTCCACAGTGTGTACGGTTCTAAGCTGAGAAAACAAATTGATAAAATAATTGCAGACCATGGACTCTACACACCGTTCTCCATGAATAACAATCCTATGTACATCCTCACACTTCCGCAATCAGATGAGATTATGACTGCTCAAGGAGGTGAAGCTAAGGGTAATTATAAACTTGATAATCTTGAGTTAGAATACGAGACCATTGAGAATGACACCCTTGCGAGTGAAGTATCAAGGATGTATTCAACGGGTTGCTCACTGTCTTACAAACACGTCACTCTTATGCGTAGAAGTAATTTGGACAAGGATCTTACCATCGTCAATGAGAATATTAATATCCCCAGGAAGAGCATGTCAGCAATTGTCCTTCTATTTACCAATAGAGTGAGAACTGATTCTGAAGAATATATTTACCCAAACATTGATAAAGTGAACCTTACCATTGAGGGTGTGCCTAATGCAGTCTTCTCCCAAGGACTTCCTAAAAACAGGTTCTTCGAAGAGGCAAAAGATTCTTCTGCCCTATGTGAGAAAAATCAATGGCAGACGAATTTATGTCCTTCAGTAAGTTCTTCAGCAATGGTTTCGCTCTAGTAATCGATCTTAGGTCAACACAAGATGATACCACTGGTGGAGGTAAGAAGATTGTTAACACACAATCGGGAGTACTCCTGGAAATCAAAAAGAGAGCCACAACAGCTGACGTTCAATGCAACATTTTTGTTGTATCAGATGCTCTCCTTAACTTTGCCAATAGAGATCTATCAAGTATTCAATACTAATGGTAAAGCATAGAGATGCAACAACTTAAGCCCCCATTCAACATGCTCATAGTAGGAATGACTGGAAGTGGCAAAACTCAGTTCCTATTTTTCGATTACATTGTTATTATATGTCCAACCATAGAGTGGAATATGACTTACATTAAATGGACTCATATTAGTGACCATGGAGTTATACAAATTCCATGCTCACAAGAAATGATCGATCTTGTTCTCAAGGCAGTGTCCACCATATTCCGCGGTACTCAGACTCTCATTATAGTGGACGATTGTGCTGCAAGTCAAGATGTAAAGAAAAGAGTCTCAGAACTGGTGCGCCTAGCTTTCTCTGCAAGACATTACAACCTATCTGTCATTGTACTTACCCAACAATTATCATCAGTAGCGAAGCCCTTTAGAGAGAACATTTCCAGGCTAGTTACATTCTACAACCCTAGTCGCAGGGATATGAAGGTTATAACAGATGATTACCTAAGTGGCGTTCCTCAGGGGACAATTACAGAGATTACGAAGATATTAAAGGATGAAAAGTTCACCGCACTGGACGTACTACTTATTCACCCTTGCACATACACTGTTAAACTAAACACCGCGTAAAATATAGATGATGGGAACTGAATCTGAGGAAGAAATGTTCGAGGCTGTAAGAGAAGTAGAGGAGGTTGCAAAGGCGCCGCAGAAAAAAGCTAAGTCTACCGCAAGAAAAACTAAGTCTACCGCAGATAAGTCGCAAACTGAACACAAAAGGGACAAGCTTATAGAGCTATCGAGGGATGGTATAATAGAGAAGCCCGCAAGTTTCATAAGAAAGTCTAACAAGGATGTTGTAGATAGACTATACCATGAGTACGAAAGTCAAAGGATGTCATGTGCAAGTGACTTCTTATCAACACTTATTATTTCAAAGTTTGCTGCGGTACTAGGAAGTTTCGGTGCAGTAGAATCATCAGACAAACTGTCAGAGGAACTACTTAGTGACAAGCTTCTGAAGGATGATGTAGCATATCTAACCAGAACGGTATCCCCCAACATCCCATTCATAGGTCTAATATCTGGTGGTTGTACAACAGCTAAACATGTAGTTGCCCATAAGTGGAATAAGAAGGAGGAACCTGAGGAAGTGTCCGAGGAAGCTAAACATCTTATATTACATACAGAATGTCAAACTTTGGAGAACCATTCGAGTGGGGAAACGCTTCGGAAGGAACAGAATTCGAATCAATAATTGATGAGTTGATTGAGAAAACTGATGAAAATAGGGAACAGCTGGACAAGATTCAGGCAACTTTGGATTCAATAAAGTATGACTTTGAAGCTTTTAAAAATGATACAATAAAAACAGTTGTAAATATATACAAGAACCTAAATGAAATGCAGTAGGCAAATAGAATTTTTTGTAGTGGGTAGTGCACATTAGTGGCGGAGCAGCTGGGTGGGCCGAGGGAATGCTGCCCCCAAATTAAATCGAAATAAATTGGTGAGTAAAATAGCCTAAAATTTTTTTTACATATATAGTATAGGAAAGATGGAGCAATTATTCAGGAACCAAAAGTTGAATGTTAGTGTAAGAATTGTTAAGAGTGGTGAGGAGGTGCTGTTTTACGCAAGGGATGTGGCAGAATCTCTAGGATACGCAAACCCTCAGAAAGCTGTCAGAGACCATATATGGAAGGTAAACAGGACAACGGTGAGAGAGTTCCAAAGGGTTACCAATTCGTTCACCTTAGAAAAAAGACATCCTAATACAGTTTTACTATACGAACCAGGATTGTACCAACTGGTTTGTAATTCCAGACTTCCGATAGCAGAAGCGTTTCAGGGCTGGGTGTTCAGTGAGGTACTACCATCTATCCGTAAAACAGGCTCATACCAATTAACAGAATCTCAGCCACTCTATTGTAATCAGATGAAGCTAATTAACGAAACGGACCTGCACTATGCTGTTGTAGAATATCTTAAAAAGTACCACCCAAAAACTCTAATCCTACCGGGACTAGGAGAGTACCAGGATACATCGCAAAAGAGATGCGACGCTTGGAAAAAGGGATATATGGGTGGACAACCTGATCTCACAATAGTAACTCCAAGTAACGGCTTTAACGGATTCGCAATAGAACTTAAGACCCCAAAGGGTACAGGTGAAGTCAGAGACAACCAGGTAGCATGGATAAGGGAGTTAGGTAAAAACGGATACCGGACATTAATATCTAACGATTACACAAAGATAGTGCTGGATATAGAGGAGTACTTTAGGGTCGACAAGATTAAGAAACTCCTGGAGGAAATAAAGAATCTTAAGATAAAGTGTAAGACTCTGAAGGCTAGTAAGTGTAAGGAAGTTGTAATCCAACGAATTGGTTACACAGTAGGTAAGTACTAGAGTGTAAATGGGAAGCGAAGGAATGAAACTTAGAAAATGCTCGGCAAATACTGTCGGGCATTTTTTAAGCAATCCCATCATACTGCCAAGTAGATTTGAGACATCTTACAAGTAGATTCAAGTTATCTTGTAAGTTATCTTACAAGTAGATTCAAGTTATCTTACCAGTAGATTTGAGTTATCTTACAAGTAAATTCAAGTTATCTTGTAAGTAGAATTAAAGATATCTTGCAAGATAAAACCCAGTTAAACCTAAGGTATCTTACAAGTAGAATGGAAGATAAACCTGAGCAAAATCAAGTACCAGTAACAAGTGAAATGAAGAAGGACCCAAAAAGAGTAGCTGCGGGAAAACGACTAGGAGCAATCAGTAGAATAGCAAAGGAAAGGAAGAAGAAACAGGTGGAATCCAACGAGTCATCTAGTAATGATAGTATGATTACCTACATAGGAGTGGCCATTGCATTGATATCTCTTGTGCTAGCATATAAAACACATCAGAGGGAAACTAGGGAACCAGAACTTGAGTACATCCCTAAAACTGTAGAAGCAACTAAGAGAGCTGATGAGTCCAAGTTAGATTCACTTGAATGATACATTAAACATACCATATATTATAACAAGATGAGTAAGGTAAACGCAGTTGATAAATCTGAGATGGGAGGTGAAGTGTACGATGCATTACTACTTACAGCCGGAGCAATCGGAATCTCAATGGCATCTAAAAAGTTACTGAAGGAACCACTAGGTACACCAGAGAACACAAAGGGAATGTTAAAGTTAGCTGTCTCTGTTAGTCTCTCATCCCTACTGGTGTCGTATCTAAAGAAGAATAAGTATATCCCCGATAATCCAATTAAAACCTAGGACACCCGAAACATAGGTAAAACTATACAATGGCGAGTGCAGTAGCAGGAGGACTCTTTAATGCATTTGCATTTGCGGGAGCAGGATACTTATTTAAAATGTTTGATAGAAATGGATACGCTGAGGAAGCTAAGAGACATAACCTTGCAATGGAGAACCTAACAGCCGAAAGAGAAAAGTACCTCGAAGAGGTTACTGATAGGAGAAATAGGATTGCTCAGCTGAAGTCAGAACTAGCTGAGGCAAATAGGGATATCAAGTCAACGAACCAGTCACTAGAACTAGTCAGAAGAATCAATGAGTTAAAACGTAAGCCTATGCCAAGGAAGCCGCAATTGAGTAATCACTACAAACCTAGCTCTGAAATGGAAGAATATATGGCAATATTTGGTTTAATTACAGGTGGGGTGGTTGGAGGGGCAGCTTATTTAATGCTATAGAAAATGCCATAAAAATTTTCGCACCTATAAGTATAGGGAAATGGAATGGTTGCAAATGGTAACACCTGAGGAGATGGCACGTGTAGGTAAAAAGGTAAATACACTGGAAGAGTTAGAGGCTGCTGTGAGGAAGCACGCAGAGAGTTGAATAAAGAGAAAACACACATATGATCCAATATGTAGCGAATGTGGGAGTAAGTCTATTATAATGATAGATGGAGCAAACACATGCACACAGTATGGTGCTAGTGATATGAATAACTTCTCATACTACGTTAGTTACAACTACAACAAGGACGACTATCTGAAGAAGAAGTCTTGTCACAATAGAGTCCGTTGGTTTGAGAGACACTTATTCGAACATGTTGCTTCTAGGGATAGGGACAAAATAAGGGAGCAGTTTAGAAGCATCGTAAGATGTATACAAAGACTTAGACTGCAAAGGGGGCGCAACATAGTCAGATACAAGTTTTACCTGCTGAGGATAGCTAGTATGAACGGCACAACTTTGAGAAACCCTCCTGATGATATCAAAACTCAAAGGATAGTGGACATCCTTGAGGATAGGTTGTATGGGAAAGTCTTTGTTGAGCTTGGATGGAAACCTGAGAAATGTTAATATTATAATAACTGGAAAAGTAAAAACACTTAAAGAAATATTCATATAATAAATCAATAAAATTAAACAATAAATTAAATCAAAAATAAAAACACTTAAAGATATACCGATATAATAAATCAATAGAATTAAACAATAAATTAAATAAAAAATAAAAACACTTAAAGCTTTCCTGATATAATAAATCAATAGAATTAAACAATAAATTAAATTAAAAATAAAATACAAATAAATTAAATCGAAAATAAATTCAAGATAAATTATTAATTAAATAACCCAATTTTTTTACACATATAGTATATAGGAATAGTTGAAAAATATGGCGGGTAACTTTAACATGAACGAATTCAGTGTAGAACAACTTTTGGCTCTCAACAGTATCATAGACAGTGATGAGGATATGGATACAAGAGTAGAAGACATCCTAACGGATAGAAACTACAGGATTGCTCCCGATGACAAGGGTGAAAGCCCATTCCAGGGAAAAATACAGTTCATAGACGAATACGATCGTGATATGGAAACAAAGAAGCCAAGACGCATACCTAAGAACTACAAGGGTAGAAGAGGGATTATGCCAACGTGGAAGTACTCTGACAGGCAAAAGGCTAAGGCTTTACTTGTAGAGGAAGCATACCAAAGCTTACTATCTAAGGGAGTCCAGGGACTTCCACCCACAATGGGAGGCAGATGGCGCACGGACGACCCCCTTGTTAACGAGGAAATTAAGAGAATCGAAAACGAAAGGAATCCTAAGGTAAAGCGTCCTAGAGGTAGACCACCAAAGGTAAAGACTGATGCTGAAGTGAAGGTGCCAAAGAAGAGAGGCAGATCACCAAAGGCAAAGACCGATGCCGAAGTGAAGGTGCCAAAGAAGAGAGGCAGACCACCAAAGGCAAAGACTGATGTTAAGGTTAGGAAGCAGACTGTAGCAGAAAGATTCCTGAACCAAAGGAAGGTAAAACTCTCAGTGCCTGCAGATAGTGTCATAACTCCAACAGGTCCAGGTAAGTTCACAGTTCACGTGGATCTTAATAAGAGACCTGCGAGGAAAGCTCCTGAGGTACCCAAGGGCGTAGCTCCATGGAGACCGATACCTAAGCCTAGAACGGTACTTCATAGGGAAAGACCTGTACCGAAACCTAGAACCAAGCTTCTTAAGGAAAGACCTGTACCGAAACCTAGGACCAGGAAACCAGTGTCTCCTCCTAAGGTTCGTAAGCCTGTAAGGGTGTCGAGGGATGTCAAGGAGCAGCCTATAGTGGTTACACCAGAGGAACAAGAAATCGATCCATTTGGAACAGACCTCGAAAAGCCATTCCACAGGAAAATTGAGACAGCTGCAAATGGAGCTGCTGTAACTTACTCGATAACTCTTCATTATATGGACCCTCTGGACCAGATGATTGCAAGCAGACAGGTAGTGAGAGGAATACTTGTGAACGAGTTGAAGAAAATGGGTGGGTTGAAGTACACAGAGACTCTGAAGGTGAGAATGTCAAAGGAAATTGGTGACGCGAAAACCAAGAAGGACTCAGTCTACTTCAAATCTAAGACTGGTACTACAACTAACTTCGAGGATATTGAAAGTACTGCTGCTCAAAACCAACTGACAATATTGTCTAGAATTGAAACCTTCCAAAACTTAGGTTCAAACTGGATTATACTCAATATTGAGAGTCATTATGTGAACATTGCAATGTATAAACCGTTAAAGGGTAGTTCATACATGGAACTTCCTAAGGATATTAGTAATTCAATGTGTGGGCTCATTAATATGAAGAACAATGACAACATGTGTTTCCTGTGGAGTCATGTGAGACATCTGAATCCTAAGGCTAGAAGAGCAACCACTATCACACAAAGAGATAGGGAATTCATAACGAACCTGGACTATGACGGTATAGACTTTCCCGTGAAGATAAGTGACATTGATAGAATTGAGAGGAAAAACAGTATCAACATATCAGTGTTTGGTTATAAGGGTAAGAAACAGTTCTACCCTATAAGGAACTCCAATGCTAAATACGAGGATCATATGGAACTTCTACTCCTAGGTGATGGTGAAGGTAACAACCATTATGTGCTCATAAAGAATGTAAACAGAATGCTCTTCAGTGTAAGTAAACATGCACATAAGCAACACTTCTGTCTTCACTGTCTTCACAGTTGTGTAAGTGAAGAGGTACTGGAGAAGCATAAGGAAACATGTCTGGAGATAAATGGAACTCAGGCTGTAATACTTCCCAAGGAAGGGACAAAAATCAAGCTCAAAAATCATAGGAACTCAATGCCTGTGCCGTTTGTGACATACGCTGATTTTGAGTCCATACTAGTACCAGAGGAGAGAAAAGAAAAGTCAGAGAACCCTGAGGATGAAAGTAGTACGGACCTTTACCAGACAGACAAGGCTTGTAGTTTTGGTTTGAAAACAGTCTGCCACTATGATGATAAGTACTCCGGTGAGTATAAGAGTTACGTTGGAAGTGACGCTGCATTGGTCTTCCTAAAGACGGTAGTAAAAGAGTCCTTTAGATGTAGAGAAATGACCGACAAAATATTCAGGAAGAAAATGGTAATTACACCCAAAGAGAAAGCAGAATTCCTGGTTACAAGAAACTGCCACATATGTGGTAACGATCTATGTGAGGACCGTGTGAGAGACCATGACCATGTAACAGGTAAGTACCGTGGAGCTGCTCACAATATATGTAATCTGAAATACAGAATTACATGGAAAGTACCTGTGGTCTTCCACAACCTGAGAGGTTATGATAGTCATCTGATTATGCAGGAAATTGGTAAGTTCAAGATGGATGTTAATGTGATCCCAAATAATATGGAAAACTACATCTCATTCTCACTGGGCAAGAATCTGGTCTTCATAGACTCTATACAGTTCATGGCTTCTTCACTGGAAGCACTGGTGAGTAACCTTTCACCTGAAGACTTCAGGATAGTAGGTAAGAGGTGAAAGGGTGAGGACTTCAATCTAGTGACACAAAAAGGAGTGTTCCCATATGAGTTCCTAGATGACGTTAGCAAACTCAATACAGAAGGTCTTCCGAGCAAGGATAAGTTCTACTCATCACTGTATGAGTCAGAGGTGAAGGAGGAAGATTACCAGAGAGCTCAGAAAGTATGGGATCACTTCAAGATGAAAACCATGAGAGACTACCACGACCTCTACTTGGAGACCGACGTTCTTCTGCTGGCTGATGTATTTGAAAACTTCAGGAGAACATGTCTGGAAAGTTATGAACTTGACCCCGCGCATTACGTGTCAGCACCCAGTCTAAGTTGGGACGTTTTCCTGAAAAAGTCAGGTGAAGAAATAGAACTTGTAAGTGATGTGGATATGTTCCAGTTCTTCGAGAAGGGTATGATGGGTGGTACAAGTTATATTGCTCATAGACACTTAGCAGCTAATAATAAGTACATGGAGACGTACGATGAGTCGTCTGAGAACAAGTACCTAATGTACCTCGACGCTAATAATTTATATGGCTGGGCGATGTCACAACCACTACCTAACGGAGAGTTCGAGTGGGTTGAGGAAGTTGACGGTATGAATCTAGATGATTACTTGGGAGACAACGGAAGAGGGATGGTTTTGGAGGTTGACCTGGAATATCCACAAGAACTTCACGACCTACACAACGGTTATCCCCTAGCACCAGAGAGTAAGGAAATAAGCGCCTCTATGTTGTCAGACTAACCGAAGAGTATTGCTGAGAAATTCCAACTGACAATTGGAGGAGTAAGAAAACTAGTGACTTCACTAGGCCCCAGGAAGAAGTACGTCTTACATGTACGTAATCTGAAACTGTACACAGACCTTGGGATGAAACTCACGAAAGTCCATAGAGCGGTTACATTCAAGCAGTCTCCTGGGCTTAAGGACTATATAGACTTCAATACGAAGAAAAGGTCAGTAGCCCGTAACACGTTCGAAAAGAACTTCTTCAAGTTGATGAACAACTCGATTTACGGAAAGACTATGGAGAATCTTAGGAAAAGGGTTGATGTGAAATTAGTGTCCTCCAAAGACGACCTCCTGAAACTGACAGCATCACCTTGCTTCCAGTCACATCGAATCATGAATGAGAATCTTATAGTCGTAAAGAGGATGAAAGAAGTGCTAACGCTGAATAAGCCGTGTTACGTGGGAATGAGCATCTTAGACTTATCCAAGACTTTAATGTACGATTTCCACTACAACACCATTAAGAAGGAGTACGGTAATAATTCGAGGTTACTGTTCACCGATACTGACAGTCTGATGTATGAACTGAAGACGGATGATGTATATGAGGACTTCAGGAGGATCGGTGAAGAGCAGGATTGCTGGGATAATTCAGATTACCCAAAAGACAGCCCTTACTACTCAACCCATAACAAGAAGGTTATAGGTAAGTTTAAGGATGAAGCTGGAGGGGTACCCATAATTGAGTTTGTTGGGTTGAGGTAAAAAATGTACTCCTATGTCAAGGAAAACGGTGGGGGTGGAATGACTGCCAAAGGAGTTAAAAAGTATGTCATCAGAAACAAGCTCACTCATGAGAACTTCAAGAATGTAATCAACACGAAGGGTAGGATGAGACACAACATGAATACAATCAGGAGCAAAAAACACATAATTGGAACTTATAAAATGAGGAAGGTTACTCTAAGTTGCTTCGATGATAAAAGGTATCTTTTGCAGGATGGAGTTACCAGTTATGCTTATGGTAACAAGAATATAAAAAATAGTGAATGAGAAGTTCCCACAGAGTAGAAAGTAATAATCCTAAAGGGTAAATAAGCAGGTAGGGCCCCCTGCCTTATGTACCCCCAAGGAGAAAATAAAAGATGTCGAAGAGGCTCCAGAATAGGAAAATTGGACGATATTGGAGAAGTGTAGGATTGCATCTAGGATAATCATACTAAAGTCTCAGCTGGACTGATAAGGTGATCCCGAAGCTTTAAGATAAGTTAAATGAAAAACATTTAGGACAGACCTCAAAATAGCAGTTCCACATTCCAAAATAAATGGACCGTGGAACTGCTGAAGTCGGGAACACTCGTTGAGGAGCGGGACCATTAATTTTTGCCAAAGGTAAAAATTAGTGGTCTCGCTCCGAAACTAGTGGTCTCGCTTCGGCAGTTCCTATACTACT